AAAACGAGGCAATTGCACATATACAGAAAAGTCTGCACTAGCTGAAAAGTATCGGGTGAAAGGATTACTCATTTACAATGATGGAACAGCACCTGATCGTTTCCAACCAATCCAGGGAGTGAGAAATAATTTAAATACAACAATTCCGGCTTATTTCTTATCGTATAATTTGGGAATGCAGTTGGGCAATGTAGCGACTAATACTAGTGTGATCATGAATATTGACGTCAGTGATGCAAATGGAATTGGAAATATCTGTGCTGATACAACAACAGGGGATAAAACGAAAACAATTGTGGTTGGATCTCATAGTGATGGAGTGCCAGCAGGAAGTGGAATCAATGATAATGGTAAGAAAGCATGGATACATTGGCAAGTGGATTATTCTTTTCATTCTTATTTAGGTAGTGGTACAGTCGGTAATTTGATTTTAGCTCTGAACTTAGCTCATTTATTTGAAACGTCGTCAAGCTATTCTACATATAAGTATCGTGTTCGATTTTGCTGGTGGGGTGCCGAAGAACTCGGTCTTCTCGGTGCTAGGTATCATGTTGATCAAGCATCCTTACCTAGCACTACCACTGTAGGTGAACGTTTACAAGATTACCTAGTAAATTTAAATTATGATATGTTAGCCGGTCCCAACTACCGTTTTGGTATTCATGACAGTTCAACAGTTCCATTGACAACGCCCACACAAGCACTAAATGGTACTAGTCAAATTACAGGTCTTTTTCGTCAATGGTTTAGTGAACAAAATCTACCCTGGAGCAACGCATCACTTGGAGGTGGTAGTGATTATGTCCCATTTTTAGCCGCAGGTTTGGCGGTTGGTGGAGTGAATACAGGAGCTGGAGGCATCAAACCAGCCAGCGAACGAGATCAATATGCAGCAATATTAGGAATAGGAAATGGCGGATTAGCTAATGCTGCCTATGATCCATGTTATCATCAACAATGTGATCGAATTACGAATATCAATCCATTTGCATATGAAAAAGTTGTTAAAGCAGCTGCTTATGCTATTGAATACCTTGGACGATTAAATGATTTGGAAAAATGGCTTTATCCACAAGGTCGACTGAAGAATTTTGAATTGTACAACAGCCATCAGTTATATGATTTTCGTAATGATCCTGATCTTATCTGAATTTGACTGAATTGATTTTTATAAAATCTTTTACTCATAAGTTTTTCAAAAATAGTAGAAAAGATATTGGAATATTTTTTATTGAATTTTGATTGAATGATAGTAATCTATATGCACAACGTAAATGACTTTTCCTAATGTAACCCCTCAACCATAATTCTGTTTTTAAAACTAAACAGTAAGCTTATCACAAAATAATTTTTAGAAATTCTAAAATGTTTAGCCATAATACAAAACTTTTGCGGACAAATATGTTTTATCATTCTATATCAGA